ATATATATATATAGACACACACACACACACACACACACACACATATATACATATATATACATATGTACACAAACACACATATAAAGTGTACGAGCACAGTGGCCACAGTGCTCAAAACCCCAACCCTTTCACAAAGGAAATTGACAGCAACGTTGACATGTGCTGAAATGGTAAGGAATGAAGTGATACTTGATTTGTACATTTTAAAGCAACCTTCCTGGCAGGGAAGAAATAAACCAATTGATGAGGAAAATAAATCAATGTTAGCTGTGCGTAATGTGAATAGGAAATTCTGAAGCAATCCAAATAACAGCAAAAATTGTGTAACTGGGGTTCTTTTGGGAAGTGTGATCAAGTCCTAAGATAATTCTAGATGTTTCTTAAAACGGTAATATTTATAAAGAAAAATGACATCAGTTGGTATTAATTGACTCCCCCTGCCCCCGTTGCACTGGAAGATGGTGCAATTAGTAGTTTGAAGTTAGTCTGAGGTAGTGGATTTAATCCATGAAAGATTGTTAATTATTTTCTTTTTACTGGTCCAATAAAAGGTATCACCCCTCTTGTGTAATCTTGTAAGCCTATTCTTTATAGTTTGAAGATGTGATATCATTCTATAGACTTGATATACATCTGTATATTGGTTCTTGATGTTTTTGCTAACACTAAGCATATGCAAGACTTGTGTTTGTTCAACTTTTGAGATGTCTTCGTTGCAATCATTTTGTGATGAAACATTAGATAAAATCATTTTGAGGAGTTAAACCTCCTGTCTTGGTTCATTTTGCCTACTAATCTAAAATTAGGCTTCAGTAGTTAGTGAGCTTCTTATAATACCTTATTTTATACAGATCTTAGTTAATGGCTCTGTGTATGTTTTAAGAATAATTTTTTTATAAAGAAGGGATAAAATTAAAATGTACATGAAAGTTTAGGTAAATTCTCTCTTACAACCTCACTTAGAAATAATACATGCTGAAAACACTGGGAGTGCCACTTAACATAAAGGTATAAATTTCAGAGCTAAATGGAAAGAAATACAATTAGAGTATAAAGTTACTTATTAATGTAAGTTTAGTAAACAATGGTATGTGTTAAAAACATGATAGTAAAAGAACTAAAATGCTTTTATTTGCCTAAGTATCCACCAGCTTATCTGCAGAAGGTTAATCTAGATATAATACATGGGTGGGTGTCCTGAGACTGCCTTGAATCCCACAAGGGAGAAATAAATTTAAAAACAACTGTGAGCTTGCCTTAGGCAAGCCACTGTATTAATTGCATTGGTAGTATACATTTACAGTACTAAAATTAACATTTTTGTACTTTGCAAACAAGACTTGCTTCACACATTACAGCAACAAAATTTTTTTTCACCGATCAGACATTACTATAGACAATTACAGCTATTTCCTATCTCTATAAGCATGCATGCTGTTTATCAGGATACTATTTTATCTAACCATCTTAGGTGTACTCTTAATTAATCTTACACATATACGTGAAGATAATTGATAATCTTATAGGTTTAACAGTCAATATTGTTTTTTACTTTAAGAATTGAATTAATAGAGATTATCTCCTACTCTACAGTTTTCCTCAGACAATTATTTTGGTGTACTTAAAGAGTGTTTGATTGCTGTTACATTGATATTCCAGAACACAGGTTGCACATGGCTTTAGTTTTCTGTAGAAACTAGAACTTGCTACTGCATTTTCCTTGTTCTGTTCAAGTACTTCATAATTTTGTTGACAGTCCAGTTCCATTAATCTGGTATTTTTTTTAGGAAAATTGCTTACAGACCTGAAATTTCTCTGTTTAAGGTGATCAAACAGGCATTTGAATCCCTCATGTAAATGATGTATTAAAGTAAAATCTACTTTCCAGAAAGTAACTGCAAAACTATTTTATGCAAGACTTCATGTGAGATACCTTAATGGCTGAATAATAAATTTTACCTCATAAAAATGAAATTCAATAATACAGTAGCTTTCTCAGCGCAGTAGCATCTGGTTAAATCTCAGGAGAGCCAATATTTTCCAACTCATTAGGATCATGTCGTTCTGTATGTCGTCAACATTGACTTAGCCAAGCTACCTTTACTTACATAACCACCAAACTATTAAATAGGTCTCTTGTGGAGTGAAGTCAAATATTCCTCTTATTTTCCTTTTGCCTTCGAAGAAGAGAAGAAAATGTACATGTTGTAACATTTAAACATCTGGTGAAAACCACATCAGGGTAATGCTGAAAAAAGTAACAGGATTCAGAATTCTTCCCAGGTGTGCATATAAAAAGGGTTTTGGAGTTGCTGCATAGTTCTTTAACCACTTAGGAAAAAGGCTGAAATATAGTGATTTGCTGTTCTAATGCCCCTGTTTGAAATCTGCTCTTTTTCCTCTCTTAACAAAATAACAGTTCTAAGTTCAGTTGAAATGCAGGTTGTTGAGCTTTAATCATTTCCTTCCAATGTACAGGCTTGGAATTTGAGTTCCACATAATAAAGCTAAGATTGGTACTTATTTTGAGCGCTGCAGGTTTGATTTTAAACAACATGCAATTTGTGATTTCATGAGTAATTGCTTGGTTTTGGCTGAGCACAGTTGTAAGGAACTTGTACAGTGTAAACATTTTCTTGTCTTTTGTAGATAATTGTACTTTCTAAAGTTTTGATTCGTATCTAGGCATCTGTCCACAACTCTGGTGTACTGGTTTAAATCTGTATCATCCCTGTGGGTCTAGAATGTCAGTCCTGACAAACTGTCAGGTGTAGCCTCTCAGCTTGCTAGAAGTCGCTATAAAGAGATGTGTGTTCCCACAGGAGATTTTGGCAGTTCTCTTTCACTCAAAAGCAGACTCTTAAAGGTGGCTAGAGTTGCAAGATAGAGTAGAGGAAAGAAATTGTTAGAGAGACTTTGGAGTGGTTCATTAGATTGCCAAGATTGATTCATAAACTCTGAGAAATATTGTTCTTCTAGCAGTTCAGATTTTCTCTAGGGTTACAATGTTGCCCAGGAAGGTTTAAAAGGAAAAGGAGGCTTGATGATATAGAAGTTCTATGAGCAAGAATGGGATCTTCATGTTTAATGATGGTGGGGGAGACACAAAAAGAGACTCTTTCCATTTTTATTTTTTGAATTGGTTCCTGAAAGAAAGCCTCTAAAATACAATCATGACCAAACATATTGGCACCCTTGCAATTTTGTCAGAAAATAGAACCCTTCTCTCACAAAACTGTTGCAGTTGCAAATGTTTTGGCACTCACATGTTCATTTCTTTGGTTTGTGTTGGAACAACACACACACACACAAAAAGAGAAGAAAAGTGAACTCCGATACAGTCCCACACAGAAACCCAAAAATGCACTGGCCAAAATTATTGACACCCCTTAATATTTGGTAGCACCCGCTTTGGAAAAAATAACTGAAATCAATCGCTTCCTGTAACCATGAATGAGTTTCTTACACCTCTCTACTGGAATTTTGGACCACTCTTCTTTTGCAAACTGCTCCAGGGCCTTCAGATTTGAAGGATGCCTTCTCCCAGCTGCTGTTTCCAGATCTTTCCACAGCTGTTCTGTGGGTTAGATCTGGACTCATTGCTGGCCATTTCAGAACTCTCCAGTGCTTTGTTTGTAACCATTTCTGAGTGCTTTTTGAAGTGTGTTTTGGGTCATTGTCCTGCTGGAAGACCCATGACCTCTGGTGGAGACGCAGCTTTCTGACACT